ACACAAAGCATTGTACAGCCAAACCATACAATTAAAACCGAAGACAACAGTCAATTAACACATGAAAGTGTTCCATATTGAGAAAAGAGAAGAGTGTCAAACACTTTATAAGGCTAAGGGGATACTCCTCCTATCGCCATATGATTTTGGGATGGAACCTCCTTTGAACTTGTGAAGATGACTCTCTCTCTCTTAATTTGCGAGTGCGGTCCAAACCCGTATTTAATAAATATCTACAAAATATAATGTAAGTAAAACTATAATACGAGTATATTTTTATTTTTGTAATTAATTAGATGAAAGTACTAATTGATTAGCTAGATATTAATGCATGAGATGTGTATACTTCAAAGATTTTTAAAAAAATGCATGTACAATAACAAATTACAAGAACATATATATATATATATATACATGTAAAAATAAAAAAATAAAAGTACGATGAACATTACAAGAACACTTGAAAACAAACATTCAAATTAAAAATGGCCTTGAAAAGCACAAATAAGCTCAAATAAGACCAATGGGTTGATGGTAAAATCATTATATAATATTAGGCACATCACTAATGCATTAATGTTTCGGTTAGTTCTTCAATTATCCATACTTTGGTTCAGGTTTTTAATTTGAAAATAGGCCTAACCGTACTATTTTAGTTCGATCACTCGCATTTTAAGTTTGGTTTTATCGATTTTTGAATCAGGTTTTGATTTTTTGCACACCCCAATCTGATAGGTGAAGGTGCATACGAATTAGATCGATTTGTTTTGTATGTTACTAAAAAAAAAAAAAAAAAAAAAAAAAAAAAAAAAAAAAAAAGAATTTTGATGAGTTAGTAATGAATATTGTTAAGGGTAAATGTGTTGCGAATTTTTTAAAAATTGAGGAAGTAATTATGTAAAACAGTGGAAAATAAAATAATACTCCTGGTAGAGTTTTTTTTTTTTTTTTTTTTTTTGGCAGAATCTGGTAGATAATGTTAGCTTGTAGATAAGGTTTTAATATATGAACCGATCATTACTCGTTCTCGTAGAAACATACAAATGGATAAGATATGAATTAAAAAACGTGGGCGATTACAACCATAAAGTGCGGTAGATGAAGGACAAGATGTACAAAGTATTTGATTGGTGGTCTTTGTGCTAGCTTTTTATTTTGTCAAATGCAACGGAAAATATCGTATGCAAATTATTGCTTCCACAATTCTCTAACATACAACCCTCCTCAATCATGCATGTTATCATCAAGTAAAACTTGTTTTAGTGGAAAAATTTGCATCTTACAATAATTAGATTTAGTGAAAAAGTTATCAACTAGTAATAAGTAGTCTAGTAACAAAGATTATATCTCACAAGTTTAAGGTTATATGATCAATGTCCATCCCAGTTACTTTTGGAGGTAGTGGAGATTTTCATTTCTTTCCTACCACCCCCACACTCTTTTCATTCCAAGTAGGTAGGCTGCCTCCTCCCTTAAATTACCTGCAAAAAAATTATTAATTGATTATATTTTTTTTTTTTTAAAAAACATATTAATTGTGAACAAATACAATATATAACATAAAATAGGGGTGACAGTCATCTCATTTGGATCGATATTAGTCCAATTAAGACTCATTCGAGTTGTTTTCGTGATCGGATCAAATTATGTCGGATAATTTTCGATTTTATGGCCATGATACTTATTTTAATACAATAATCATTATTAGAACACAGTTATTATCAGGTTAGTTCAGATCATGTCAAATAGTGTCAAATAATTAGGACTTTTAGGAGTGTAGAGTTCGGTTTTAAAGAAAAGTAATCGGGAATCTGAGTCAATTTTGTATTGTCTATATATTTAATCCATTAATTGCAATATTGGAGTTTTTGGGATTTCCAATGCACATTTTATACGGAGTATTGCTAACACCTTTAACTTACTTTTGTATAGGTTATAGAAAGTTAATATTGTGAATGTATATATCGAGAAAAATCTAATACAACCCTCCGTAAAAAAAATTAAAAAAATAAAATCCCACATTACCATGTTTTTCTAACACATAAATTACAAAAGATCGTCCACTAAGTGTGTAAATAGTATGAAAATTTTAATGTTACAATTTAAAAAACCGATAAAATACAAAATATAAAAATGACCAAGATTTACCAAATATTTTCATACAATGGTCATTTACCCATTTATCCATACAAAATCCTTACTTTAACCCTAGGCTTCTACGTACATATCTCCTATCTAGACTTTTAGTGATAAGATGGCATACATATGTCCAATTACACGAGTAACAACGCTGCTTATTGATAGAATATATAAAACGATCTTGATACCATGTAAAAGTGATGAAAAGCTAGCTTGTAGTCTGTGGAGAACAGAAAACGCTTGTATTACAAAGTGGATTGATTCTTTGATACCGAATTTTATATTTTTCAGATGAACAACTTTAATTATTTAATTTCAGTTTTCGTTAATTCAAAAATAAACTAATGAGATTGGGTACTATTTTAATTAATCAAGAACAAAATCAAAGAAAGTAATTGATCAATTTACATAGACTAGGACCAATTAGAGATCATATTAAAATTGGCGACTGTTAAATTTCGAGACAATATGAAATTGGCAATAGTAGGAGTTACTCCTCTACCTTATAAAGTGGAACCATCTCTCCTCTTTTTCCAATGTGGGACACTCACAAGTGGACTACAATGGGTTTCAACACTCCTCCTCACTTGTGAGTGTCCTTAGAAATTCAGAGCTAACTGGAAAGACCAGATCAATTAATCCTCTTAGGGGTTGGACATCATGTCGAGGTAAATCCTTATCCGTAGCGATTAAATACCCAATTTAGAAGAGACCCGCAACCCATACTCTGATACCATGTTAAATTTCGAGACAATATGTATGAAATGGACCTGGGAACCCGAATAAGGAGGAGGAGAGTTTGGTCGTCCACAAACAAGGCTTAGGAGCTTTCATACTAAAACCAATTGGCAGTAGTAGGAGTAACTCCTCTACCTTATAATGTGGATCCATCTCCTCTTTCTTCAATGTGAGACACTCACAAGTGGGTTATGTTTAGGGTAAAAATTACCCTAGCCACGTAGCCTAAACATAAGCTGACACGTGTCAGCCTCAAAAGGGCCCAATGAGATCAAATCCCTGGCTGACACGTGACACCTTAACCCTAAGAAGGGGAACTGATCCCCTTGCCCTATAAATAGAGATGTTTAGGGTAAAAATTACCCTAGCCATGTGGCCCAATCATAAGCTGACACGTGTCAGCCTCAGAAGGGCCCAATGGGATCCAATCCCTGGCTGACACGTGGCACCTTAACCCTTAAAAGGGGAACTGATCCCCTTGCCCTATAAATAGAGGAAAATCCTTATTTATTAGGCATTCATAAATTTCTAAACACACAAACACAAAAACCGAGCAATATAATTGCAGAATTCTCTCTGAATCAGAAGGAAAATACCTTTTACATTCCGTACTATACTCCTTATACGCGTTCTAACTTGATCGTCGGAGGCAGAACTCCACCCAACCGGGGTTTCGTGGTTTTGCAGGTACAGACAGCCGGACGCGTATTCTCGGTATTGTAACCCTCCCGTAGGATACATAAAAACCCCGAAACAGGTTACAATGGGTTTCAACAACGACAACAAATAAATTACCTCATTTAAATCTTCAGGCTTGTTGAGGGATTTTGTTCCTTCACATTATTATTTTCTTCGAGCTTCAAATTTGATGTAAATTAATGGAAGAAAGCAAAGGGGAGGGGAGGGGAGGGGAGTAGAGAGAATTGAGGTGAAAATCGGTTAAAATTCGATGATTCGGGACAAATATATAATCAGGTATGACCAAGATTTACGAAAAATCTATAAAAGTGATTACCTATAAATTGGTACAAAAATTTACCTTCCAGGCTTTAACATATCTCTTATATAGTGTTTCAGTTAAATAAAATCATCATAAATATATGGCTTCAACATATCTCATACCTAGACTTTCAGTTAAATAAAGTCATACTTATTTGACATTTGTCCAGATATGCAAGGAACATATCACATCGTAGTATCTTTCATATATATTGTTACTTCCATATTTCTTAAATAGTCTCCAAATTCAATTAGTTTTTGGTTTTTAACCCTTAATAGAATGTTTCTACAGCGGTCGTTTGAAATATAACTACACTATTATTCCAATGATAAACAATATGAGAAATTTATTTTTTTTAAATATAAAATTAACACAATTAATATTCTAATATCTACAACGCAAATATAATATTTGAATATTTTAATCCAACATAAATAATATGACTTCTAATTGTTTTTTTTAGGTCATTTAAGAGTTAAGCTCGAAACGGCTACATTGTCGCCAACATTAGCTAAATTCTAGCGAGGTTTATGAGCATAAGATTTGGCTCCAAATGTAGCTCAACTAGCCTACTCTCCGACCCGGCGGGAACATCAGATACGAGTATTCATCAACATTATTTTCGGTTCACTCTAGTAAAAGAAGACTATAGCCGATAAATTAGGGTGAAGAATATGACTTGTTTATTATTAATCAATAGGTAGAGTATTTATACAAAATCTACACTCATAAGATAGTAAACAATCTTCCTAACAGATATACTATAATAATTATATATCCTAGAGATATATTCACTAAATAATATCTTTAACATAAATAAACCTGAATATATTATTCTCACGATAATATCAATATGGAAAATATATCACTCATATATTTTCCAATATGATTTGATCTCATATCTCTAACAATAGCATTGGGTAATAAAGAAGTTTTTACCATTCTTGAACATTTTGCCAAAGTAGTCTTTAGAAATAAAGACTGTAACAGACACAATTAAAAAGACATATCTTCACCAAAATGGGAGTTCCTCCTTTAGCCTATACATACATAAACTATAGGAGAAATTTATTGAAACATAGATTATAAGCACCACGTACATTGACACATGCAAGTGCCAAATCTACATATTTGCGGCTAAAAATGGGAAAGTTGACTTCTTCTTAAAAGTAACAGGGAATGGCGAATCTTTGGCGACTCCCAAACGTCCGTCGTCAAGAATAGTAACATCTTTACACTCCTTAAGATCATCGTAATCATCATCATCTTGTCCTTCATCATCATCGTCATCATCGGAAGTTTTGATTTTTTTGGACTTGGACATGAACTTGGACTTATACGTGAACTCGAGTAAGTGACAAAACTTAATGTTGTACACATTCTCACCAGCATCAGATTTTTCAGCAAAGAAAGCATAAGTAGGTTTGAACGGCCCTTCAACACCGACAATAATGCGCGATTGGTCGTTGGCATCACTCGGCGCCACCCACCACCGCAAAGGCATAAAGCCACAGAAGGGGACGAGAGGCTTGAAGGTTAATTGGAGGGGAAGTGAGGTCGAAAGGTGGAATACTCTATACTGCGACAAGATCTCCAAGGGCATGCCATCTTCTCCGGAATGCGCAGTGCCAACGTATGCAGGGCAGATTTGGCCGGGTTTAACTAGACCATCTACAATAAGGCCGCCAGTGTTTTTCGAGTGTGGAAGGATGTAATACTGGCCGCCATTTTGTAGTGGATTACCGTCCGTGTCTAGGACAAGATCGGCGGAACTAGGAGAAGGAGAGAGAACGAAGAGAAGAAGAGTGATTGCAGTAACTGGGAGGAGAAAGGAAGCCATATTTTGTTTTAGTTGAGGGTGGCATGCATGACAAATGAATATGGAAGGGTGCTATATGTAGAACTAAAAGAGTAATGTAAGGAGAGGAAATTTTGAAAAAGAAAGTTACACGTACATCTATGGTAAAGCTCATGCACGATGACATATGCGAATACTCTCTTTGTCTCCTTAAGACTGCTTTATTGTCTTATGTCCCCTTTGTACGTTATAGGGAAGGTAAAGTTGAAGTATGTGAGATAGATAGCGAAGAAAATTAGTGAGACTAAAATAAAGGTTGTGAGAGTAAAGTAGTGGTTCACACCAGTGCGAAATAAACACGAAAAGACATCCAAAAATGAGCTGAGAAATGGGCTGTTGAATTACAGTGTTCCAAAACAACACATTATGCGTCCCACTGGAAAAAAAAATAAAAAAAAAAATTACAAGGGTAAAAGGCAATTCATTTAATTGCCATATGGATTTAAAAATGTAAGTGATTTCATCAATTGATTTTGGTTCCAACATTATTGTCCTCTCACCTTTCCTTGACCATACATATCTTATCTAGAACACAAGTTATCCAATGAATTTCCGTTTCTCAATGTGATGTGTTATATAATATCAATTTTTTTTTTTTTTATTAATATATAATTGAATAGGTAATATGTATGTAATTGAAAATATTAATGGCAAATGTATGTCTTGAAGAATGTGTTAAAAATTGACAATACTCGTATATTTTATGACAGATGGAGTAAGAATGATCAAGACAAGCATGCTCGCCCAACATGTATGAATTTTCAGATTTTTTTAATTTCCACTACGAGTCCACTATCAAGCTAGAATTATTCTAAAAACAATAAACTCCAATATTTCATATCTATGAAGTTTACTTTCTCTAATTTTTTTAAACTAAGTGTTAAAACTTAAAGAGACTGTGTCTTAGAAAATTCAAATAAATATAACACATTCATCCTTCTCATTCTTCTCGTTTTAAAATCTTTTTTATTGAATCATGATCTATATATGTATACACTTTATAAAGCCCTTTTCAAGAGAGAAACACGAAACACATATAATACATGCAACATACCTAATGTTGTGTAACATATGTTTGTAAATAGTTTCATCCCTAAGATGATTGTGAGGTTTTCATGAAAAAAGGACCTGTATGATCAATATTGCACTAAAACACATTATTTTCGTCCTCCAGGAATTTGTAATAACAGTGGCAACACGGCCAAAACAAAAGAAGTATTGATTTTTTTTATTTTTTTATTTTTTTTAAGCCATAAACTTTGAAATTAAAAATGACTGAGAAATTAGGGGATATTGACAAGTGTTAGAATTGTCAATTTATCTCTACACTATCTCTCCCACTCTTTATTGACTTGTTTAATTTCGTAAGTATTAAGTAGTACAAGTAAATGACCATGGCTCGAGTCGGGCTAAGATCATGTTAAATATAATCTTGTTCTTCTTACCCAAAAATATATCAATAACTAAAAACAAAAAAAGGTTGATATTTAATTTGTACATGACCACTTATTAAATATAATCTTGTTCTACATCTGCCACACTTGTGGTCGACGAAATTTTCGAGTGTAATTGTCCACGTTTTTTTTAGGCCAGCTCATTACAATGAAAGCTAAGTTTTGGCCACCCTAACACGTCGACAGTTGGACTCTAGAAACAACCTTCCTGTCTTCTTAGTAGACTAAATTAATTTCAGGATGTGATGTCTCTGAAAATCTAATTTATTTAGTTCACCAAAAAAAAAAAAAAAAATTAATGATAATAATAAATAAAAAAAATAATGGGTGCTATGTGTAAAGATTTGAAATCTAGGCATCTCTATGATTCAATTTATAAATAGTTTTAGTATCCACATTTTTTTTTCGAAAGATTTCGTATCCATTAGATAATTACGGAGTAAAATTTACTTACTTTTACGGAATATTAACTTTCTTTAAAATTTTATTGGTTTCAATGTTAACGAATCACTTTCTCTGTATTTTAATTATTCATTGATCCAACCGGCGCTAAAATTTATGAGGGTACTAATAGACCATATTAATAATGGACAATGTAATAACCAATGCTAAGTTTTGCATATTATTACTCCATTGTCCATTCCCCAATTGAGATTTTCTTGTAGTCCTTGACATGAGGAAAGGAAAAATGAAAGGGGCAATGGGCTAGGGAATGGATTATCCGGCTAGCTTTTTTTCACTAGTAGAAAAACACAAATGCGTATCGGTATAAATCCCCCTATCGCATCGATTTTGAACAAAAATAGAAACATTAGCACCGGTTCAAAACCAGTGCAATTCTTAGTTTTTAGCACCGGTTAACCTGTGCGAATTAATATTTGTGCTAAAAAGCATTGCCACGCTTATTTTTTTTGGTATTAATAACAACTGGCACCGGTTAACCGATGCCATTAATCTGTATATATATTTTTTTTGGCAATAATAATAATATTAATACTAATAATAATAATAATAATAATAAACTTGTACATCCGCATTAATTCTACCATTATTATAATATATTATAATAACAATAATAATTATAATTATTATAATTATTATTGTTATAATAATAATAATAATAATAATTTCTAAATTGAAATAATAACAACAATACATAGATATTAATAATCCCAAATGCAATACAATAAAGTGTCACATTTACGATTCCTCAAAAAAAAAAAGTGTCGTATTTACAAACAATACTAATTAATAATGTAGGTAAAAAGTTAACAAAATCTAAATTCAAAATAGAAGTGACATTTACAAATTAATGGTGATGAAAGACGTCAACATGTCTCGAACTTCATTAAGTTCCTTACTTGTCTACGGACCTTCCTTTTGTACCTTGCAAAACTTGGAATAGACAAAAATTATGTTAGAATTAATTACTTAGGTTATGCATGTATAAATACATTTTTAAAAAATTAAATACCAAACTTGATTTATTATAAGTAGCTCAAATATATAGAATGTTTCTATTATTTGTAAGTATAAACAAGCAAGTAATAGTCAAATTCGTGCATTTACAAGTTCACTTAGGCAAAAATGGCCTAAAATGGCATGTAACAGCTACTAACGTTTCCAAACTTTTCTTTTCATTCTAAATTTCAATCCAATGACTTATACTAAGCTTATATACCATGTTTCTATTATTGATAACCATAAACAAGCAACTAGGAGTCCAATTCATGCTTTTCCAAGTTCACTTGGGCAAAAATGGCCTAAAATGGAATGTAATAGCTTATAACGTTCCCAAAATTGTTATTTTCTTTCTAAATTTTAATCCAATGAGTTATACTAAGCTTATATACCAAGTTTGTATTGTTGGTAATTATCAATAAGCAATTAGGAGTCAAATTCATGCATTTACAAGTTTCGTTGGGAAAAAATGGCCCAAATAAGGCTTATACGACTTCTACTTTGCCTATTTTCTACATTTCATATCAAATGAACTCATTCTTTCTCATAACATGTCCATATTACTTAGTTTTAGGCGTCTAAGGCTTGAAATCACATGAAACCAACAATTTACCAAGTGTTAGGACGCATTTTCATCCAAAATGACCCAAATAAAGCCTATATGACTTCTACTTTGCCTATTTTCTACATTTCTTATCAAATGACCTCATTCTTTCTTATAACATGTCAATATTACTTAGTTTTAAGCGGCTAAGGCTTGAAATCACATGAAAAGAGCAATTTAACTAAGTCAATGGCATACCTCATCAAGCTGTAGTGTGTCCATACAACGACTCAATATGTCAAACATGAATCTCATCACGTATAGGCCACAATCAACTCCGTTATCCTGTTGTGCGCACTAGCATAGGAACAAAGTACATGAATCAAACGTGCATAGAAAATTAGCAACATCTTACGCATTGTTTATTACGAAAATCACAATATCATGTGGCATTACCATCGGGGATTTCCATGTAGGACCCTGAGGAGCTCGACAATTTAGCTTCTTCATAACACTATAGAAAAGTAAGTTCAAATTTGATTAGAATGAATAATAAATGAGTTAGGTAATGATAATCAACACTAGGTAGCTATATTTACTTTTGTAGTATGACCTTCACGAGCAACTTTTTTGGTTGAGGCAATCAAGCTGAATCAAATAGGAAGATTCTGTTATTGGAAACACAAATCACCATAAGGGTCTAATTCAAAATACATAAATTCACAATAGACAAACAATCAATAATATGGAGTCAACATATAAACAGGGGAAACGGTTGAATTTGACAAGGTTAGACGTACTCCTCATAACATGGGGCGTATATGAACTTGTCTCCCGCACGCACTGATTCCTTAATACTCTGTTCAACATAGTACATCACTTCAGGGTGGTTATCTAAGATTCTAGTAGAGGAGGTCTGCTAGGGGCATAACCTCCCAACTTAACAAGGAGAATCAATGTCACGTGAGTGCTCCTGTAGTGCTCTACATGCATGATAATAGAATATTAATGGAAAAATGAAGGATAATCACCACTAATCTGAATAACATAATTTAAGCAGCATTGAATTACCTCATGAATGTTTGAATGAGACAAATGATAAGCATTGAACCACTTAGAAATTCCTTCACATCTTCTTTGCTAATCCATGTAATTGCATCCTCATCATAGTGTAACAATGCCTTAGGTAGTGCAACTTCAATGGGATTGTCACTAGGCAACAGACTAACATGATTGTCTAGAAAAGTTAAATCCTTAGAGAACGATTGAAGGACCGTGCCTCCAACAAATGGAGTAGCTTGCATGGTTGAACCTCTCGAAGAGTTCTTCTTCGACGCTCGTTCACTCTTCGACCGTTGTTCACTCATCTTCTTTATAGGTTGATCAATGCTTTTAGGCTTCTCCACCCTCCTTCTCTTTGAAGTTTGGCTTTTATTCTAAATCTGATAAAACATAACACGTTATTAGTTGTAATAGAAACCCATCCAATTCTAAGGAAGACAACCGCGCAAAGCAGCAGCCAA